TTTCTTGCAAACGCTTTGTTTCCCGGCTAGTAACATGAACTCTGAAGATGTTACCTAGCCGGGTAACGAACGTTTGCATGAAAACAACCAAGCTCAGAGAACCCCAAGGACTCCACAATCCCGACAGAATCAACTCCAGAATTGCAGATATTCTGTGGAAAAGTGCGAAGTGCCACATCTCTGAAGCCTGAGACTAAAAATCTCACTGTGTGCATTAACTGCACATACCTGGAGGCAGAGGGAAGACTCTCCTTCCAGCTGGGCTAATGTGGTAAGGAGACTTCTAAGCGTTACCATCCCACAACCACCATCCCAGGGTTAGCATCCTTTGGGCAACATTTCCCCTTTAACCTCCTTTCAGCAGCAGCTAATAACGAAGCAGCTCCTGCTGGCAAAACCAGCAACTTTAGGAAATGATCTGTCCCCAGGCCATGTTTAAATTTGGCAATCCAGGTTCTCATTAAATTGTGCCACATGCTAAAACTTTCCTCATTTAAACACAGAGACCCCTGAAATAGAAAAAAAAAATGTTACAAACATCAACTTTTGGAGGCGGGCGATAAGGGAGGGCGGGTAGGGGAGAACCAGGAATAGGCAGTTGAGATTTTGAGCTATAAATTGAACGTTTGTTTTATATAGTGTTTCTATTCCTGAAAAACTGTAGCAACCAAGAATTAGCCCCGTCCTCTCTTCTGTCCCTTCCTTGACCTCAGTTGAGTCATGACCACACAACAGCAATCACTGAGGTAGACATCAGCGGTGTAGTTGTGTTCGTATTCATAGTTGCAGGATGAATGCAAACACCGCCCATCCTCCAACTCAAAGTAACCACTTTGCTATAAGTAGAACTTAGCAATTAAAGCTTTACAGAATAGAACGAAAGCAAACAGGAAAGGGGTTGGGGGCTTGGGAAAATAATGCAATTCACTGGGAAAGGGGGCCTGCAAACAGATGGCATCAACACTGCCAGACAAAAGGCATTATATGGAGCCCTCCACCTTCCTCTCTTTTATGGATGTCTTGCAATAAGAGAAACGATGGAAGGAAGG